GATGACAGAAATGTAATGAACAATTTCGCACTTTCTCGTTAATTCGAAGAGATTAATCAAGTTAGGAAATAAAACCAATGACGTCTGAACATGCCTGCCAAACTTTGCTACATATTGTGAAACCCCAACATTGGTATGACATGTGATTCATTACTCCCCCATTAATCCCCAGAATTATATATTAATTAACAATAATGGAATACTTTTGAACTTAAATTTTATAAAGGTATGCAATGTATAGTTATAAATTATTGCTAAATAAGTTAAATTACTACAAATGCAAAACCAGGAAAACCTGCATCATTGTGTAGCAGAGAACACTTCATTAGAATTCTCAAGACAAGCCACAGCAGCTTTCGGGAAATTTTCTTCAAATTAGCAAATCTCAAAAATTTATAGCAGTGGGAATTGACAGTATAGCAGGGGTAGTACAAGTTCAAATACAACGTGCTTTATACACGAGTACATATGATCTGCTCATTAAAACAAAACAAAAATACAAAAAAAACAAAACAAAAAAACTTTTTAATATTTTAATATTTAATTCACTTAGGGGGATCTTGGGATGAAACAAAAGTACGAGAAAAATGTCAATTTAACTCCCAAAATTCTGTATTATCACAATTGTTGCATTTTGCCGAACCCAATCTGGTTTCATCGTTTCTGCTCGCATACAGACTTGCATGTACCAATCCTCTTGTAGCACTCCTCAAACACATTATCCCTGTAGGTAGGGGACCTACTTGCCATTCAATTCAGAACTGATCTCCGGAAAAACCGCAGGCATATGGTTTGGTTTTATTTTTAATTTACACAAAAATGAACGTTTGCTCCCTTGTTACCAAACAAGTCACAAACAGTTGAAAGTATATCCCATAGACTATGCCGACTTTGCATTTTTTTGCCTATCCTTACATAGACTGTGGTATTGTTGTTGGGTTTCTGATTACCTGATAGGAGATACTTCTAAGCGGGCTTGATTTCATTGGGGAAATCAAAAAATCAATAGTGGCAACCTGAAGACAAAAACTAGCAGGAGTATTATCAACAAACATTACCCTCCCTAGTTGTTCAGACAAAAACAGTCACACGGAAGGGAAAAAAAAAAGCCAAAGCTATACCACCCATGAACTGAATCGCTTGCAACCTACTCATCCCTAATCAAATTAAATATGGTATCATCCCATCCATTTCAAACACACAGGTCATTCCATTCAGCAGAATTGACGGGGGTCAATATGGTCAAAAAGTGAAATTCAAACTTTAAAATCCTTAGATTTAAAAAAACAACAACACACACACGCACACAAAACGTCTTTGGGGTCACGATGGTTGAACAAGAAGGATAGGAGCACAGATAGCAATACTTCAGCGGGTAACATGATCCCCTTCACTGGGGTAAAGTTTCCCTAATTAAAGCAAAAACCAGTGCTATAGTAATTGCACTTAAAAAAGATTAAAGCCAGAACAGTGTAAATAGGTGAAACGGAATCTAAGGTAGTGATTATGCAGGGAGAGGGGGGGGGGACTAACTGGTCATCTATGAGTTGCAGCCGTCACACAAAACACGGGTTTGCTCAGTTGCACAAATATAATCACGTTATACAGCATAAATTGTCCGTATTTAACTGACCATAGAGGCTGAGCCATGATGTCCTCACAATCCAACTTATTGAGTTTCTGTCACTCATTCGGCCTTCAGTATTCAGCTCCTAGCTCAGCTATTTGATCATCTTCTTAAACTGGTCGGGCCAGTGAACGCTGACAGTGCCTTAGTGATGCATGTCACCTCTAAAAACCGAGGTGATCATCATGCACACTTTTTTTTTTGTAATCCCACCGCCAAAATCCCTCCTCTTTCACTCCCCTTCATCTTTAACAACATTTTTTGTGTAAATGTTTCTTTGAAAACCACCTGGTGTTTTTCCCCCAAAGTGATCAGTTGAATGTTTTAATACCTTTTTAGACGAGGAGAAATAGGGAGTGTGCCTGAGGGAAAAATACGTATACAGCTAGCGACATAAAATCTTTCTTGCTACCAAAAGAAGTTGCATGGTGAGTGTTGCCATGGTGACCAAATATGCTTTCATAGTCTTCTACAATCTGACACATCAGTGACCTCATCTCTGAGCTATAAATTGAATCTTAAAGACGCAGTAATAAATATTGTTTACAGCATATTACTTAATATCAAAAAAGGGCTTATCGATCAAAATGCGGTGCAGTGTTATGTAATGAATTTAATAAATAGTACTAGGCATTAATATTTCCCTAAGGGCTGAACCATTATTTATAGGGGGGAAGATAAAGATCACATGATATGATACAGGAGGGGCTGATTAATTCTGTGACTGAGTACTATAATTATATTTGTGCTTTTAATAACTTGATTCAGCATGATGTATCTGAATGGTTATCATTGTATCAAATCAAATCAAATCAAATCACTGAAACTGCTTTAATTTCATAATTATGTAAGTCAACAGAGAAATTTTGAAGCAGCAAACATTTTATCAAGAGTCACAATGATTTTGATGAAAGTGAACGAACAAACTGAGCATTCGCAAAATACATTCTTTAATGAAAAAGCAGCATGTGACTAGTTTTTATTTTATGAAAATTAAAAAAAAGCATCAGATGAGTCTAATATTTTGGAGATGAGGATATGCACTTGTATGTGTGATATAGCGACAGACAGACAGGCAATATATATACAGGGTACTTTCAAAGAAAGGAAACTCGCTTGAAAGACCTTGATTGAAAGGGACAAGGTATAGTGCCAATTGAAAAAAGACGACGGGTAAAAACAGAAATGCCAGATAATCCAGTCTTTTGTGGAGATTATTAACGCACCACTCAAAGCCCTACACTGACCCTATGCTCTATTGCCAAGACCTCCACTGTCCAAAATTTCCACTAAGTGGCGCAAAACAAAAATGTTGAAAAGTGAGGCCCACGAGCACTTCTGGATGTTTTTTAAAGCAATCTGAACACTCCGGAGGTGACGGTTCGGCCCTCTTGTTGTTTATATGAATCTTAAAAACATTGTTTTGTGGTGGCATTTTTTTTTCTCACCACCGTGATGATCTCTACTCTACCCTGCCTCTATAGTCCGAAAAAACCACAGCTGTGATAAGGACTATAGTTGTCTGCCATTTTGAATAATTTTTACGTATATTCCCAGTAATTTTTTTTTGAGTAACCCTGGGTAAGTCATAATTTTCATCACATTATGTTTCATTTAAATTTTGCTAATATTAAAACAGCCCCCTCTCTCTCAAAAAAAAAAGACTGGGAAGAGGATGTGAATATCTTGTATAATGTAATAATAAAATCTTTCACACTTGTGATTTCTATTAAACATGTCATGAAGACCAATAAATAAATATAAGCAGTCTCATTAGCACGGATTTTCAATCTATCTACTATTAGATTGAACAACACACGTATAAATCGCACATGTGTGTAGTAACAATGTTGTCTTCACCACTGACCATACTGACTAGTCTCTTACATTAAAACTCTACAGTTTGTCCCAGTCAGCAGGAGTAATACAATTTAACTATAATGTAACTACCAAAACTAACTCACTTCTTCAAGCCATTAAAAAGTAAAAAACTTGCAACAAGTTGTTTTAAAAAAATATTAACTAACGTTTTGTTGACTGCTCCTTTAAAACCACCAGGAAGAGGAAAACAGCGTAAAGTAATAGAACTGAGCAAATATATTCGAGGCTGGTATAAAGAGAGTGGATGCCTATCTTATGGTAATAGTGATTGACTGAATGGTGTATCAAAATCTCATAATGTAACAACAATAACAAACTGCAGGTTTTTATGAAGGGAGGTCACAGCAGACATTGATTTAATCCATTGTAACCCGCCATTGCACTGGCACAAGAGAAAAAAACATAGAAAACTAGAAGTCCTCTAAACTGAACAGATACATTTTTAATAAATATTTTTTTTTCTGACAATATTGTGAAATATGACAGGAGGACCTAACTAGAAGTTAGCCCCGAATCAGATTAGAAAACTGAAGCAATTTCATGGTCGACTGCCACTTACTGGGTGTTCCCCCCTGTAATGTCTAATCAGTGATGCAGAACGCACATGTTAAGGCTCCAGGAGCCCCTTTAGTGAATCTGCACAGCTCTGAGGAAAAAAAACTTGATTTGCTTTGTGAACACCCTCACCTACCTTGTTTACGGTATGGATTTCCACTTGAATTGATGGCAGTAAGTTAATTTTGCAAGCCGTAGCAATGTGTCTGTTCTTATATCTTGCTTAGTTAAATGCACACAACAAAATCTCAGCCTTGGGTTTTCTCAAGGGTTCAATTAACAAAACAGAAAGTACACTTATTTTTTTTTTTTAAGAAGAAAAAAAAAGCCAAATTATCACAAAGGTGATTTCTTCGTTTCCATTCCAGTTAGCTTTTTGCAGTGAGTGGACTATTATGGGACACATTTTCTGACCTGTGATGTCACTACGTCAGTGTGTTGTATAACCAATTAAAAACTGTCTGTGAACAATTTCCACATCGCCATGACAACTTTAGTAAAGCATCCACTATTGGTTTACCTCCCACAGGCGAATATTACATTAACTCCATGGCATAATGTGCGCTTCACGAGTGAAACAAAGAACAGTCATCCTCCGTAAAGCTCGGGAAAAATCAAAGGATGTATGTTTCTGCATGACCAGCACTGAGATAAGAACATGTCATGGTGCGTGCTTCGAGAGAGGAAGGGAGGGTGAGAAAGAGGGTGAGAGAGTGGGAGACAGACAGACAGAGGGGAGAGAAACAGAGAGACTTTCTCGACTTAATATTCTTCTAGTGTTTCAAAAAAAGCAAGATTCAGCATTTCATTCATATCAGGGAACCGAGAAGAAAACATACACACAGAAAGCCACACTGAGATCACAAGGTTTCTGTTCTGCATAAACAAATGTAACCATGGTAATGATTTGTTATTATTATTAATATTTTAGGCTTACCTGGAAGAAGATATTTCTTCCATGTCGACATTGATAAGAGTGCCAGACTGTTTTGGATTGACTGTTGACGAGACTCTCCAACCGCTACTGGATATTTCGCTTGCTGAAGAAAACTTGATTCCCCGTTTAGCCTTAGCTCTGAAAATCGAACAAAAAATATACAATTTCATTATAAAACAAATTCAGACATAAGATTGGATAATGCCACAGAGTCGATTGGAATGGAATGGTTCCAGAAGAAAATTACATTTTAAAGTTTAATCTGAAAATCATGAATGATTAAATTAAAGAAGCCTAGGGATGACCCATTTGTAACCCAATGGAGGGTCTAGAAAAGTAAGGGCAGGGTAAAATAAAATAAAATAAAATAAAATAAAATAAAATAAAATAAAATAAAATAAAATAAAATAAAATAAAATAAAATAAAATAAATAAAAATAAAAATAAAAGTAAAATAAAATGTCATTTTACATACTCTTGATATTATTAATGTGAATAAATTAAAAGTTAAAAATTCTGTCTTTCAATTTTTCACTGCTCTTGTTAAAAACAGCCATCCCTTAATGTTCAAAATTTTTTTGAATTTTTCGTTACCAATAAATTTTGGAGGGGTAGCAAAAGGCAATGCTTAAACTCAAATTACACTCTGTCTGAATTATAATTGTATAGACTAGTAGGTTCTAATCTTCTGAAATACAGCTAAATTTATAATCCTTGAAATGTTTGTAAATGTATATAGAGTATCTAATGCAGAAAATCTTGGTCTTAACTTCAGTGTCATAATTAGCCAAACTTGTGATGCAAGACTTTAATGTATTTTTCCATAAATGGGGGGGGGGGGGGTACTAGTTTATTTTGTTGAAGGTGAACATTAGCTGGGGCATTTAAAAAGTCAAAAATGAGAACGTCTCAGCAAAGTTTTCATTGTTGTTTCATAATTTCTCCTGAATCATAGAATCAAGAAAGAATTACTCTTGTAAAATTAATTGACAATCATTTTAAAAAAAAAAACACCATTTGCATTTTTAAAATTTTTTGGGGACTCAGGTAAAATAAAAGAGAGTAATTAATCAGATTGGGTTTAGATAAGGTTTTTGTTATCAGTAACTATCTTATCAGAGACAAGACTGAGGGGTTTGCTTAGTGATGTTATCCGCTGACCTTCAAGATAGGGTCAAAGGTCAAACACGATTTAACAAGAGAAAATCAAATACAGCTTGTTTGAGAGTACAAGAAATTTATTATTTGTAAGTATTTGACCACTGCTTGTCCAATCAGAATGAGAGCACTCAGATCACCACACATCATTATGGCAAACACTGCGTAACTAGGGTTTTCTGATTGAAAAAAACACACGAAAATCACGATTTATAAATTATTTTCTTCGCCAAATAAAATAATAAGTGTAGCAATATTATATTTATCATTAAATAATTTCTAAATTAATCTCTAAAGGTCCCTGAATACATTTTCATTTAATTTTAGTTTATCTTATTCTGAAGGGCTCGTTTGAATGTACCATATTCCTTGCAACACTCATTGTTGTTGTTGTTTTTTTTTATTTAACAGTCTCACGCACGTAGCGACCATGTTTCTCAAGTATTCTTTTTATTCGCCTACCCCTCTTCGCAGAGAACACTTTTTCTTTTTTTACTCCATGGTTCACTCCCAACCAATAACTGGTTCACTGATTTTCAGTATCTGTAACCCCTTTCAAAAAACCTTCTCAATAAGCCAGAACGCTCTTGGAACCAGAATAAAACGTATTTTTGTTTCAAGCATTGTTCACATTCCTTTTGACCAACTTTTCCTGTTATTGAGTTATTTTTCTACATTTCAAGTAAAGATGACATGGTTATTATTTTAATATTAATAGTAACCGATAAACAGAAATTAAACAAATTCGAGCTATTCTATTAGAATATAAATTTTGAAAATCATCAGGGAAAAATATTGTTTTGATAGATTTTTTTGTGAAAATATACATGAATATAAAAAAACATTATACTCGGTGTACCAGGTCATAAAAACAGTCAGACAATTTAATTCAAAGTATTTTAGTTTCTGTTTCTTTATCAAACAAATACATGACCCTCAAAAGGTCACACATTCTAGTCCTGTTGAGGGTACAAATTTACTTATCAATGAGAATTTCTCATGATTTTCCTCCAAAACTACCAACAATTGTCATTGAACTTCATGGCAAAAAGACAAAAATTAATGTATAATATGGGGCCTTCTAACTGTTAGAGGGAAACAATACCCAATAAAGGCATATTAAAAGTGCTACAGTCATCGCGCAGCGTGTGTAAGAATTTCGTGCAAACAAATATCGCATTTTACTTGCGTTGTCTGTATCGCTTTAAAAGCGTTAGGAAACATCTTTGCAAGTATATTGGATAATATATTGACCGTATGGCTCAGTAAAAGTCAATAAATATTCAGTTTCTAAAAATAGGATGAACTTCCGTATTTTGATACAAAAGAAAAAAAAATTAGGCAGACCCATGAAGAAAATTGTCAAAGTAAACACTATCAATTTTAGTTTTAAAACAAATCCATATCTCTCAACCTCACTCAATGTTCTATACTAAAATATTTACGAAATACGAAAGATAAAATAGGGTTCCCATTCCAAATTAAAAAAAAAAATTGTATTTTTAATATTATTTATGCTTTAATATAAACATCTATAAAGAAAGCAACAGAGGACAGAAAATATTTTTTTTGAATTCATTGTATCATATTATTTTAGTTTCTGGAAACTTGGGTTTTAAATCTCAAATTCAAATCAAAAGGTCAATACATTTTTCGAAAATGAAGATAAAAAGTATGGTGAATACTACTTTGAAATATGTAAAAAACTTTTGCTTTATTACAGAGGACTTAACAATTATTTGTGATGATTGGAGAGTGCAGTAATTCGTCTAATGATAATGACGTCAAGGAGATGTTTAATTTCATCACGAACAAAGCGTCAGTTTCAAAAGAAATGATTCTTACACTATTTGACTGAGGTATCACAAAATCGTAATTACAAAACAGAAGGGTTCTAAGGCTAAATGGATTAGCCAGATCTCTGTGACTCTTATAAAGCTTACTCACTGCAGACCAGTCAAAATAAACATTTTTTTTCCTTTTTTCGTGAGAGCTATAGCGACACCCACCATGCAAAGCCGCACAGTGATTCCATATCTCCCTTTTTCAGTCCGCCTTTGTGAACCATGGTAGATGCACCCAATCGTGAGTTTCAGTCAGTTTGCTTTGTTAGACGTGCCTTGGTGATACCAAACTCGAACAGCCCGTGTACAATAGCCGAATGCATTTGCTGCAATGGGGACTCTGCATGTTTTCATTTTGTTTGGCAACAGTACAGTGAGACAAAAGCCAACACCGGACCTTTTATGGCCAATAAGAATTAAATAAAACGCATCACCCCCAAAACCAGTTATTGCAGTATTTAACTAAAGCAGAAAATCCTTCCCTCCTTGCACTGGGCGTTTCTTTCCTGCATTAAAATTCAGTGTTCTAAAGGCGGCTATTTACAGCGAACAAGAGAACCATCTTCTCTCGTTTCTTAGCCTTTGATATCAATTCACCGCGGTTGTATTGGGCAGCTCTTGTTTTAGCTTTCTTGCCCTAGGGCCATTCAAACCACAGGTATAGACAGTGTGACTGACAAACAATCACATAAAACTGAAAAGTTTGTTAGGAAAACATTCAAAACCAGGGAGGCAGCTTTACTTCTCTATGGTAGGCTTTTCAGACTCCATTCTCTCCATTCTATATTATTTGTAAAGTTCTATTTTGCCTTCTTCAATGGAAGGGTCAAAAACTCACTAACTGTGAGCAAGAAGGCAATTGTCTTTGGGTGTCTGTTATGCAACCACCCAACCACATTAATGAATTTTATTTTTATTCTATTTCACTTTGCGGATGTTAAGTAAAAAAAATCTTTACAGAACGCACAACCGTTGTTTAACTTGTTCAGAATCAAATACACGGATCCACATGAACCAAGGCTAGAAATTTTCTTTGGTTCTTTTTTTCTTCATGACTGTCAAATTTACAAAAATTTGTCTCGCTTGAATTTATATTTGAATTTAAAGTCGTATGTGGACAGATTTTGTTTTTATGCTCATAAAAATAGACTTTAAGACAAATTACCGCACTTTTACTTTGTGAAGTAGCATATTATTTTAATCGAAATTGAATAAAATCATCAACTTCTGCTTCCAAAACCCTAAGGAATTGTCTTTGAACTTTGTAACGTATGAATACTTGATAACATGTTACATACTACCGGTAATTGACAATAGATAAATTGTGTGTATCAACCAAATAGAAGTTTGACCAAGACCTAGCCCCCCCCCCCCCCCCATCCCTATTTTGTGCTACAACGTTAATTTTTTGTAAATTTCATGGAAATGTTAAGTACAAACTTTTGATCACAGGGACAAATTCAATCATGCTCAGAAGGATACCAGATAATGATTTAATATCGCAATATATACCAAATTTGCCGAACAGTTAAAAGCAACAAATATTACTCTGGAAAATCAGACTAAATTAGCAATATTTTGAGCTGAATATTTACCAAAATTTATGCTTAAAAGCTGAAAAATCAAACATATTTTACAGTAAATAACAATTAAATCCATCCACGACAAAAAAATGCAAAAATTCAGCAGATACAAATTTGGTACATTTCACATTCTATTATTAGTTTTTTAACCTGGATAGCATTGACTTTGTAACTTGATATTGAACTACTGAAGGAGACTTTTGGACTTTGAAACTTACATAACTTACATGAGACTAACAAGCTGATAAAGGGTTCTTGAGTTACTATGACAACCAGATGATTATTATCTCTAGCATGGTTTAAATGGAGGACACTCAAGCAAAGAAAAAAAACAACATATAAGCTGGGTAGATTTAATTATATTATATTCACACTAGCAATAGATTAAGGGAAGGTACACCAGGTTTCAGCACTTCAGAGGTGTTAACTTGAACCAGAGTTTTAATGTTTAGGATTTTTTTTTTTTAATTTAAAAAAAAAATTTCTGATGTTAATATTAGTGGAAGATTGTTTGGCGAATTGCACAACGAGAAGTACAACATTATTTTAGCAGTGAACATTTTTATTTTGGAATCTGAAAGGGCAGCAGTCGTCATGCCACGTCCTGTTCGATATGGGACTCATAGCGGCGTACACAACGCGTGTAAAATACATTGTTTATTTACATGAAATTTGAATAAGCGCCACGCGTCGACTACCACGCTTTAAAGACAATGACTGACTGTAACTTTACGAAAGACGTTAAATTACCAAAATTAAGAAAAATTAACGACCAAAATAAATATTATTAAACTTACCTCAAAGAAAAAGTTGTCAAAGTAGAATTTGGAGGAAGGACTACATTAACCCCAAATTGTGAGCCAGGAAAGAAATCTTCCTGCGAGACATTCAGCCATATGTGAGGATCATCTTTAATAATGTCAAAATTCGTAAGTGGCGACAACATTGTAACGTCTCCAATGCGGTGCAACGCTTGCTCCTTCTGGCCACCAGTTAACTTCCCTATTCTGATTGAGTTATCGCTGTTCTGCTCGCACGGAGAATTTTCCTCGTAGTCCTCTATTGTATAATACACTTTGACTTGATCATTCCTATTGTGTGACATTTCGTTCCACCACTTCTGCGGAACGATAACTTCAGCGAGACAGATAAGTTTGTGACCGTGCGGCCTGCACGCTGTTGTAAGTTCATGGTCATTGTAAAGTACGTAAAGTTTCAAACATGGCACCTGCTTATTGAGATTAATATTCGTGGCCCCGTTGTGGGCTTCCAGCCCATTGGTAATGTGAAAGACCACTTTAATAGCTGGCCGAAATGTCCTAACATTTGGCCTAACGATATATGAAGCAATATCAGTATGCGAATAATATTTACTAGATGTATTCTGCCTCAATATCTCTTGTTCTACATGAAAAGGTCCGTATGATGCCCTTATGACATGATTCTGTGAGTTCACAATACCGATAAGTTCCTCGGAGTACGATTCCGTAGAATTCAGCCTGTTTATCGGCACCGGCACACTACTGCTCAGAAAAAACACTCCTCTACGGTCAGTCACTGAAAACTCAGCTGGTAACCTTGACAACGAACTCCACTCATCCTGGTTGCCCGGCTTACCGGAAGTAGTGACTAAATAAAAAGATACAGAAAAAAAGTTAGTCAGGATGATTGGCGGGAAACCATAAAAGAGGGGAATCAATATTTGCCCTCTCTGGAAAGCGAATATTTGCTGTAGCTTCATCACTGGCATGGAATGACATCTACTGCAAACAAGTCTGCAGTACCCGGTTACTAGTGCAATGTACCGCGGACTCCTTCAATGAGTCCAAATTACACAAATCGTATGGTATATCTCAGTTTACAAAAATGTCAAACATTTTAAACAGTATAGGATTATCTATCAACAGCTAGGTATATGCGTAACTGCTTGCTTACTTCAAATATGTTAATGAGATGTGTCTGTTTAATTGAGTATTCGCAGTAAAATTCGAATTCTGCATCCAATCAATAAATAGGATAAAATTTAATACGAAAGCATTTTTTTTTTAAAAATATGCAGCACAGTACAGTGTATATTATTAAAAAATGGCAGAAAACGGAGAATTTTAGGCAATGTATATTTCTACAACATATTCCACTCAACAACATGCTGCATCAAGCCGACGGGGGTTTTCCATTTTGTTTCCATGGAAACACTTTCACAGGCAGCCATTTTGAATTCATTTTTTTAAATCAACAAAATTCAGATTTGTCGAAGAGGGTTTAAACTAATACTGACAAATAGGTAAGAGGACCCCCCCCCCCTCATCCAGACAAATTATCAAAGCCAAAACGAATTGCCCATCATCAATGTACAAAAACCAGTCATGTTAAAGGATCTGTAACATAATATTATTCATGTTTCACCAAGCGATGATAATTAATTTGTTTAGACCCATCTATGACTATAAATCTATGAGTCCACCTGAACCAACAGCTGTGCACAATCAAATAATATGAAAATTTCCCAAGTCTCAGTCACCGATTTGGTGAAATATATACAGCGAAAGGACAGTCACAATATTTACATAGCATTCATTTTTTTCAATAAAAGATTCCGACGATCATTTCCCCCTCTAGTATACTTCTATAAATAGAAGAGCATTCTGAAAAAATCCCATCATGCTTTGCAGCTACCTTCCTGTGTGTATATGGACATCAATGTTATAATACTATACACATACTTATAAAGATAGATAAATGTGAAAACAATTAATCATCGAGCATTATCATTGTAAAATTTCCCGGATTTTGGTAAATATATAAAACCGGGATGTCAGTTGGAAATTAAACTTGCGCAAGGATTTTCTGGGAGAAATGTACTGGTGTTTAAAACGTGTTAGTGTGAATGACAATTGAGCTGCAATCCTGCAATGCTTTTTAACAGCCTCTAAAAAATGGGAAGATTATTTTTTCCTAAAAAAAAAAAATAATTGAAAAATTGTCAAATATATTGTTGCCTTATAGCACACACTAGGACAGATTTTAAGATTATACTGCATGGAACAGTTTACCTGGATAGTAACCATGGCAACTATAGGACAAGAAAATTATAGAGGAAAAATGCAAAAATAACGCCTCATCCTATTTTGATGTTTGTTTTTTTCAATTCTATTTTTATTTTTGAGAGGTAGGCAACAAGGTGAAATAAAGGTGAATCAACTGAAATAATGTTTAAGTTATGAATGACGTCACAGAAGATTACAAAATACGATTAATTATTCACGCAACGGTAGCAAACGCTATTAAGCCAGATATCCCCTCCAGATCATGAGACAAACACATCATTTGTAGCTTTATGCTTGCAATAACATAAATTGGTTTCCATAGTAACAGTACAGGGCGCCATAATATAATTCTGATTAAATAATGTTGAAAATCTGGCCCATGACTGTGAGCAATGAAATAGCGTTCAGTAAACTTTTTTATTAATGAGGACGATAATGCTAACCAGTTATTAATGAAATGCTAAAAAGTACAAAAGATCTGATTTGAAATTGATTGAATATGGTTATTGTCTACTTCACAAGTTTCAAAGTAGCAATTGTATTTAATACATATCTTATAAGAGGCACTCTTACGATAAGAGAACTTACATACACCAATTACTTAACTCGAAAAAAACTCTTTTAACACAGGTAAGGGTTCTATAGACAAACCAGCACACATGTATCAATTGTTTTGTTTTAAAAAACTTTTGAATATTGTCTGAAAATACAGCCTGGTAAATGTGAGGATTGTAACCATAAAATCTAAAGAAAAATTACATTACAGTTTTAGTTAATAGACCTTCATATTTCTCTGGTATACATAACTAAATATTCAGCTTATAGAAAAAAGACTATTTCAACCAAATTAGAATCTGTGAAAACAAATTTTGTTGTTATATAAATGATGAGCACTGTTCCATTTTTTTTTTACAGAAAAGAAAGATTATAAATAACTTAACAATAGATCAACAAAATCTATCCTTTTGATCTTTTTTTATCATCCATAAAAATATCTTCTATTTGATAGTAAAAGAAATTACGAGATCAAAGAGACCGAGTTTTCTCAATAAAACTAGAGTGGGTAATGCACAGGAAGCATATATATTTTTTATGTCTCGATGATGTAGTGATAATCTTACAAACGAGGTATTCAAAGATTTAACCGCAAATTTTTGCTCTCTTCCAAACTAATGCATGAGAAGACTACTTAAGTGAGCGAAAATAGGCAAGGAGGATTCTTACATGTGTACATGTTAAAATATCGGACAATTTCGCGAAATCCAACTAAACAAAACTCTTCAGAAACCAAAAACGTTTTTAATGAATGAATATAATTTCTAGTTGGTTCTCCATGGACTAGTTTGTATAAGAATAAAACCGAACATCTGTTCATTATATTTAGTGTTACCTTCTTTTAGAGATTTTTTTAATTCTGCATTAAAACTAAAATTCTATTCACAAGCAGGGGAATAAATCAAGTGAACTGATTTCTTTTATAAGGAAACCATAAACTAACATGATGGCACCCTCTCAGCCCCTCTCACCTCCCTCCCTCCCATAAGCAACAAAGGAGAATATAAAGATTCAATGAAATAAATGTTTGTTTTGTTGAATAACTGTTTTTCTTTTAAAGTACATTTATCAAATTTATAAAGGCATAAATCTGAGTAACATTGGCAGTTATAATTACAGACAGGCTTAGGGGTTCAACAGCATAATTTCAGTGGAGTTAAAGAGTATGATAACACTTTGCTAACAGTTTTGATTGCTTTTTCTGTCTTTGTGAGTTTGAGACATTACCCCTATTGAAGAGCAGTAATGTTGAAATACCAATTATCGAGAGACAACTGTCCCCTTTGATTGCTTCGTTAACCTTGTCGCATAAGAACAATGACTTAATTGTGTTTTTCTACCAGTTTTTTTTCTTTGATCTTGTAAACAAAAAAAACTTGAAGACTAAACAAAACAGATTTGCGATGAGTCACACATTCCGTGAGGGTGTCATTTAGTTTGGTGTTTTTTTGCTCAACGTGGGCTCAGTTGTGTTCCCTTGGCATACGAGTCACGCCTCAATGCGGTAGAGGCTTTTGTTTCACGCACCCTAAAAACACCATCATCAATTCCATACCAGGACCCTACTCCCATTGCTTGACTTAGCATTTCGTGTGTAACTTAACCAAAGCCTAAGCTATCCATTGCGAGGGTATTCAGTTTACTATGCGTATTAGGGCTTTTGTGACAACCGACTGGGTCGAGACCTCTCAGAGCCCGGTAGCTTCAGACAGCCAAGCGAGAAGAAAGGCCCTCTTCAGTGGAAAAGTGACAAGTTCATGCCGTGATGGATCGATTTGGCGGCAGCTCACAGCGTAATGTTTGCTAATCAACAATAGAAAGCAGAGAACGGATGACTGGCAATCAACTGCGAAGCTAAGAGTCTCCCCCCCCCCACTGCAACTTTGTTCAGTATGTTCTAGCGAGTGAAAAAAAAACATGTACAGTGACACTTCTGCTTACTATTATAATCTGAAACGTTTTCATGAACACAAAAAGATGCGGGCTAGATTTATGAATTCATCCACAATAAAAAAAAAATGTTTTAAAGCAGAGAGAAAAAAAACAGGGAGCTTTGAAGAAGTGCATACACCCATGTGAACGTTTTTTTTAGAATCCAAGATGGTAACCTTATCCAATTCTAACCTTATTAATAAATACCTGGAAACTTTGAAATGAGAATTATATAAATTTGGCAACTGGACGTCGCTAACTCTACACAATGTACAAAGATGTATTTCATGAAATAAAAGAGAAATGAAACTAAAAACTAAATGACAATCCCTGTTATGATATGGATTATAAAAAGTAAGTTTTTAGTTTTTTAGTATGACATGGCACAGTAAAACATCTTACACAAACCGCCGTGTACTAAGCAGGGTGTATGATTTCAAAGCTTAAGCAGACTGTCCAGTACTAAGCAGGGTGTATGATTTCACAGCTTAGCACTGTGTTGGGAAATTAGAGCCGCTATAGCCCAGTATGTAAGCTGACCAGTCAGGTGGAACGCTATGGAAACCAACCAAAATGTGTGTGTGATATGTAGAGCTACCTAAATATACATATCTTGGCATTAAACTAGAAATTTATCACAGTTCCTCACAAAAAAAACAACACATTTTCTCCAATTTTATGTACTTTTTAATAATTTCTTTGTAAATTTTGGACAAAATGTACATAATTTCCCTTTTCTGCAGGTCTTGATCAACATTTGAAATATTTATGCAAATTTATTTTGACTTCGGCATTCAAAAATTGAATAAAAACAATTATACATTAACAAAAAATTGTCATTGTCAAGGCTATTTTTAACATCTAAGAAACCTGAATGTACTCAACTTTAAACTATCATTTAATTTTTATTATAAGCTATGACTAATAATAGCAAGCATTTTTTTTCCTTTTTGCTTGTTTTTTGGGGGAGGAAATACACATGATAACTGATCTCCAACCTTTCACCTTTAACCCAAAGAGCTTGTCATCCCACCACCTCTGAAATTGGAAATTGTGACAAGCTCTGTCATCGCGTTGAACTACGAGACCAGCCCA